ATCATCATCATCATCATCATCATCATCATCATCATCATCATCATCATAATCATCATTATCATTATCATCACCATCATCATTATCATCATCATTATCATTATTGTCATCATTATCATTATCATCTTTATCATCATTATTATTCTTATGATTATTATTATTATAAATGTCATTTTTTACTCCTTTTATTATTGTTTAAAGTATTGATATTATTTAATAATCATAATTGGTACACACGAAAAGTTTACGAGTCATTAAAAAAAAAAAAAAACAGTAATCTTAAAAAATGATTCTTACTTTCCATTTTTTTGTAGCAAAAATACTATGTTATTTTATCAATTAACAATGTTTTCTAACAAGCAACAAGTTAAAAAATAAAATTCTTCGTCATAATATCATTAAAAAAAAACAATTAAAACATCTTCCTCGTCTGTTTAACTTTAAGGAAGTAGTCAGTTCCGTTAGTTCGCGTGCACTCATGCACATCTGGAAGTGAGGGCTTACCTGTATATACGACGGTATAATGCCGACATGTGCAAACTGTGGAGTGGCGAAAGCGAAAGTGTTCCACTTGCTCGCGACATACCTCTTTCTCTCTCGTCAAACGACTAGATACGTGTAATGCCATCGTAACACGTTACTTGTATCTAAGCTGACCTTTCCTCACGTTACTTCTTCGATGAAAGACCAACGCTATTTTTTTTTATTGTTATCTATCAAACATTTTACTTGATTAATAACTATTTATATGACTTTAATTATTAATCCGAGATAAATCAGAATATTTGTATGGCAAAATATAGGCATTTGATGGAGAATACTTCTATCACACAAAAGAATAGGAAATTCTCTTGATAATTAAAAAATAACTATGTTTTGAGATACAGACGCTATGTGGATTATTGTGCATGGTACCACGAGCATATGTGTTACGTGTACGTGAGAGATCGACAAGGTTCTGGCGCCTTTGGAACTGCCAAGAGCCAAGTTCACTTTCTGCGGTTATATAAGCGTGTAGTGATCGGCGTGCGGGAAGTCGAAAGTTGCTGATGCCAAGCGTGTTTTAAGTGTACCGTGAGGCATTTCCTCGAGAANATATACCATTTGTTCAAATCAACTGAAGCAAAAGCTTCCAAAATTTTATCTTAAAGGTACAAACTTTTATGACTGCACGCCACCAGCTAAGGTGGTTGATCAACATTGTAAAAAAATATACCATGAAAATCTGTAAGAAATAATGAAATTATTATTCATGAATTATCTCAATATATTATTTCAGAAACTTATGCAAGCAGAACCAAAAGATACAGCCCCAAAATACACGACGAAGAAATTTTGGATGTTGCACAAGTTGAAAAGAAGATTATAGAAAAACTCGGAGTAAATGTCTGCATTTACGAGAGGATATGTGCGAAGTATGCTGATGAGACTCTTCATAAGAGGGGCAGAGAACATATACTCAACTGGGATGACGTATTTAGGTAAACACAATTTTTATTTACAATTTACTTTTTTTTTGGTATTTTGAGATGTATATTAATTGGACTATGCATTTAATGTGTAATGAATGAAAAAAACATTTATACAAAATAATCTACGTATAGTTTTAAAATAAATGGATTGACAAATACTTTTTTAAACTAAATTTTACAAGTAAGTAGATTAAGATTCGCGTCAAAGTGAATGAAAACAACTTCTTGGTCTATGACATCAAACTGTCGACGATTCCAACACTAATGTACATATTTGTTTTGTCTCAAAATAACTAATCACGATAAAGGTCAATGTTTCTTCTATCTTAACGGCAGTACAGCAGTAACTGAGTCGAGTTGCATGCAACCACTTGTGCACGATGTAAGTCACTCATTAAAAGCTAACTTTGCAAGATCATATTGTTTTTACCCGATCATTGAGTCTTTGCAATAAAAGTTATTCCAAGCCTTTATTAATTAAGTTTGAAAAGTGTTACGTATAACTTAAATGGTTGTAAAATAAGAGCTGTTTGGATTCAGTTGTGTAATAGAGAGCTTGTCTCAAAGCTGTTACTATAACTGTAATTGTAAACATAGTAATACCATGATTTTTGACAGTTTAACATATAGTACAGTAAGATAAAGATTGTATGAGCCTTGATCAATAGTCGACAGATAACATAATCCATATAAACTTTATTTCAAATTTATGTATAGTAATGATGCTTGCTGCTTTAATTCTGCAATAAAATTTTATTTAACAGAACTATAGAACAATCTTATCACATAAAAATCTTCAAACAAATTTGTCGTGTTAGTTTTTATAAACGAGAATGCTTTTATGTACCGCCATTAAATTAACATCTGAAAACATGCATAAACTAATTTTACGAGTTTGAAGCGGCTTTAGAGAAGCTTTTAAATACTTTATCCACATATGACGTTTTAATAATACTTCCAACAGTTACGATAAAAACTGCAAACTAATATCCTTGGGTGTCATTTCCTTACTTCCAGTCGAAGTATTCTTTTTTAGCGCATCTGCCTTTTAAATTGAGTGTTCTAAGGAATCTGTTAATAAAGATGAGCACGTCTTCAACTCGCCCTTTGAAAATTTATGACGACAGAATGAGTGTCCGTGTAATCATCTAACCCATTCGAAGGAATGTAAATGGCTTTTACTACGATTTTATAATCACACCGCGCTTTCACAGTACTTGAGAGCAAATCCTATTTTTTACTATCATTGAAAGCTTTTGGAAATTCCTCCGCTGACTTGAAACACTGCTGCAAGTTTTTCCGTCATTAATAACCTATTAAACGTACTAAGCCTGGAAAATATTCTTAACTTATGTTATTTATGAGACGATTCTCCCTAGGTCAATAGATTTAACTTGGTTGCAATACGAATACCGGTGACAAGTAACTGAGAAACGGGAAAATAAAGGATACAACGTAGAAATGCATAGGATAGAAGTATAGGAAGAAAAGAAAAAAAGAGAGAAACCGTTGCATCCAGGCGAAGTTATCGGGATGCATTAGGGTGGAGGCGGAATCTAGTCAGTGGAGGGGCACACCATTAAGGTTATCTGTTCCCGGCGTCAGTTACAACTGAATTTAATGCAGTGGCCATAGACTGGACCACGAGGGAGAACGGAATAAAAGAATCCATGCACAGTATACGAATAGCCAAGGAGGGGGTCACCCTATTACGCTGAATCCTGAAATCGCTTTCCAAGGATTCGGACACTTTGTTCCCCGAGATTTACTGTACTGCACGTGTCCGCGCTACGTTGCGACTACGATATACCGTACCGTTAATGTGCTTTCTCGACGTTGGTACTTCTTTCTTCTTTTCCTATTATTCTTCGAGTTTTCGTGTACCCATGTAGCAGAAAAGTGGACGGTTTTAATGAATTTTCCTGGAGTTGCTTACGAAGCACTTGATGAATCTTTCAGAGCCGATTCTCGCGTTAGCCTTGGATTGCGTGGCTTCGTTTATTATTTACAAATGGTTATTATGCCTTGCTCATCTGGTTTATGTATCGGCTATTGCATTATCAGAGTAATGCAATGGAAAACCTCAATGTAGTACATATTTGATTTTAACGTTCATTGGGTGTGCTTTTCTAGGTATCTTTAGAAATAACATTTTTGTATACATAAGGGAAATGTTTTTAAGAGTAATTATGTTCGATGAACTTTGAGTATATAGAAACAATACTAGATTTATGTCATTTTGTTATATTTTTAATTATTTCTTCTAATGTTGAAGGAACAATGTTTTTATACTTAATTTCCTGTTTTAGTTTATTTATTTTTTTTTTTCTCTCAATTTCAATTCTCATTTTTCTGTTTTTATCATTTTATTCTATGTCATGATCTGGCCAATGTATCAATTGATAACTTATTCTGTTTCAGTCAGTATAAATCTTCACCGGATCCAGTGAAGGAGAGCTACTTGTTGAGCGTATTCATGGGCAACATCATCGGTAGTCCACGGCTCTGTCACCAGCTGGCGAAACGAGGAAGAGAATGCAAGATCCCACTGTCAGATTGATGGCGTCATGATAAATTCTGCGGCTACCGTACCTTCGCTAATCTTCGCGTTTGTCAATTTAGGGCTTTATTGTGCTTTTTTTCAAAGGAATTCATTGACGATACTTGGTTAATATTTACTTATAAATTTTGATCTTTGTGTTACTTAAAACAAAAATTTTTGTGTCTCATGACATAATGTTTTGGATCCTTCGGAAACAAACACGAATCCAACAGCATAAATGTATATATAGAGTACCTTTCTACAGGAATAAGTAAGTTATATTTTTTGATACACCACACAAACCAAACAACTTTTTGGAGTAGCGTATTAGCAAACGCGAGAGATTACCACTTGGAGTTTTTCTTCTCAAGTGAAGTAATTACGCTTCTTTTTTTTTAATTTTTTTTTTACTACTTCTACAGTGCATCATACTCTCGTTTATGTTTTTTTTATCGAGTAAGTGCGACAGACGTCGATTGCCAATTATTAATTTCAAACAACATGGCGATGAGATACACTGTGATTATAATAATTATAATGGTTCGCAAGTCCGTCCATTTTTTTAAGACCTCTTGACTTCCTGTTTTTCTATAAAACCAAATAATTGATCAAGAATTTCAGCGTTCATAGTGGGGAGAGGGGATGTTGAAGATATACTTGGGGGTATTTTCATAAGTCGCTGGTATGATGATTAATGGATATTTGGTTTCTTCTTTCGATAAATGCCATGGTCAAACAATTGTTATCAACTGCACACCATACAGTCATACGCATAAGTTATGTTTTATTTTTTTCGAACTGTTTGTTACTTAGTTGTATTTATTAATAGAGATTGGGTGGATTAACTTGAATTTCAACATTTTTTACGTATGCAGAAATGGTTTTTAATAAAGTTTTTTGGGTTAAAAACGATGGATGGTGTTATAGTTAATTTTCCTGAGCTAACTATCATAAAAGCGTGTCGAAACGTACTTTGAGAAGTTCTCTGAAACATGTAAAGTTACAAAATTAACCTACGCATTATTGGATCTTCCCATGCTATAGTGAGTATACGTTTTACGTAATAAAAATTGCCTCATGATTTTTAAACGTATACACTTTCAACGTAGAACGATTTAGAAATCGTCAATTCAATAGTAACATTTTACGTTTTTCGATTACTAATATATTAAGTAAAAATGTAAGCTTTTAAGAAGATTACAAGTTTGTCTGTTTTTACAAGTAAACGGCCATTTCAAAAGTATAAGGTATCTAAATTTAAAAAAAAAAACAAAGTCTAAGGTGTATTGGAACAATGTACCGGAGAAATTTTTACGTTGGCGTGTAGTAGAAAGTTTTTGCAAAACTACACGTTATCACTTGTCCGTATGCGTGGTTTAAGGCAAGCAAATGTTAATAACTTAAAGATCACCAAAATAAAAAGTAATCAGAGAAAATTTAGAATTTAAAATCACCACAAAGACTCACCCATGTTTCCTTGAAAAAGAGGAAAACTCCATTCGTTAGATCCACTTACCCAACTTTCATTAGAGCATTACACCTTACCACAACATGATACGTGTTTTTCTTGCCATAACTTTCTATACTACTATTTCCCTCCATAACAGCAAAAGAACTAATCCAACAGCGTCCATCATCCTATCAATTTAGTGCGGAATAACCCATATTCCATACCCAGACGAGCTAGAAGCGGCCGCTTATGTAGGTCGTACCATGACGTTTCGCCGGGGCCCCCTACACGCCTCATTCAGCTTTCTTCGGCGCGCTGGGTCCGAGACCAGTTACCAAGAATCTCTTGGACAGTTTGCTTTGTATTTTATATGCGCGCGTACGTGAACCGTTACCCAAGTGTCGTGTGTGCGAATCGAATGGTCTGTTCGTCGAGCTAGAGGTTTGTTTACGCTGGTGGCGCCTGTTTTCGTGACCAAACGCTGGTACAGTTTTCGTTCCAGGGCTCGTAACTGAATTTCGGTTTTGATTGTTGTTGGGCTTGTTGACCCAACTACGTGTCGCATATGTAAAATCCGGTGATTGATTACATGACTGTTGTGCTGTACGTTTGTTTACGATCCGTTGTCGTGACGCGCTTTGCCTAATCACTTTGAATAATTTATTTGTCTGTGTTTGGAATGGAAATCCACCTTCTTAGATCTTTTTTTCCACTTCTAAAATAACTCTTAATCACGAGTCATCAGTTTAATAGCTTTCGATCGATGCTGAATTGCGTTCTACCGTCTCTTATTTCAAAGAGATAATTTTTATTTAAATAATTGCTTCCGCACACAGCACCGAGCGGACTGTCACGCTTTCAACAATCAGTCACGTGCTTGTTGCATATTCATGACGAGCGATTCCATAAATGTGTTATAGAAAAAAAGGAAAATATAATAGTCGACAGGTAGTGTGGCGCGAAATAAAATTGAGCTTGAAATATTTACGTGATTTGCGGCTGCAGGAGATGTCGCGTAATTTATAAATTTTTGAATTGTGGAATTTAATCGACAAAATTACGACTCTCACGGATTTAAAAATAGAGTTAAGTGATACAACTGCAGCAACAATTGGTTTTCTTCATTTTTATTTTAAATCAATAGAATATATATGTAGCGTCGAATTTTCCATGTAAGCAAAAAAGCAGAGAAAACCATACGAAAACAAGGAGCACGTTAAATTCCCCTATAAACAAAACGCCTCTAATACATCTCTCTAAGTCGCATCTGCAGCAACAGAAAGGATCGTAAACACGTAATTAGCTAAACTATTCAGTGAACCACGTTGTACACGTCCGACATAGCATTAACATCTAGCTCTGTGCGTGAAACGCGGGCTTATTAGCGGCCAATTTAACGAATCCACTGGCTCGTACTTTATACTACGTGTATGTACACGGGAAAACCGAGGCATTGAAAATCGGCGCACAGCCCACAGCGAAAACTATGTAAATCTGCGAGGGTCCGTACGTGTAGTAGTAAAGAGACGCGAATAATATAGTTTGGTGGACAGGATTTTGGCTGCGTTGGGGCGAGATGGCGTACAGGACCGGCCTATTTGCGCTGATTTTGTTGGCTGATCTGCTGTTGCGGGGGAGCAGGGTTTTTGCGATCGACCAACAACGTTGGCAGTTCGATGATTCCAGTAGTGATACAGCTGAAAAATATCTGTGCAATTTTAATGAGCCAAAGGGAACATACAACGCTACGGATCTCATTTTGTGAGTAACCTGGGAGCTCTGGTATTTTTCTACTTAAATTTTAACCGGATTGGTGCTGTTTTTATTATATTTTGTTGAAATAACTTTCCAAGCTCAAATGACAGCTTGAGGATTATTTATAAATTCATACAAAGAGTTTTGATGATCGTATATTTCTTACGTATCATCTTAAGCAATGCCATTTATGCATATCCAATGATGAAATTGTCGTCATATAGCTGATATTACATCAGACATTGTCACTTAAGCAAACAGTAATACATGATACTCATTGTACGTATAGGTGCATGAATTCACTAGCCTCAATGATACTGCTGCAGCGAAATTTCAACTCAAATAGAATGACAGATCGCGTATATCAAGATTCGGGACAGTCGTACCCCACGTACCTGGATTACTCATCGGTCAGCGGGGCTACATCGAATCACTTCAACGGAAACATGGTGAAATTCTCTTCCTGTTTGTAAATTACGATTTGAGCAAAGATTTCACAAAAAAATTCTTGCTGATTTCTTTTTAGCTTACTTCACTGCTCCCTGGCACTCTACCATTGACAAGCCTGGCAGACTTCCTTGGCAGTTTCACCACTCTCACCAGGCCAGGCTTTAATTTGTTCGGCGCTTTGTCCTCAATTGCTCAGTACGACGATTTGAAGTGCGTCCCGCGCATACTTTGCGAGATCGCGAGTGGTTCGATGCCTGGAAGTGCGGGCTACAGGCAGAACTCTGGCTATCAAGATTTTCAGAAGAGCCCCATTCTGAGGTAATCCGTGGCAAAATTTTGCCACTTGAGCTTCTTTCTGTAAAAATTTTTTCTATTTTTTTCCGTACGATAAATTTCGATCCACTTTCTACCCTTTACAAAAGAATCACCCGAGAAATATCTCGCGACTTCCAAAAAACATGCCTAAAGAACAAGCTCATTAGCATTCATCTATTCTCAAAGAAAATTTGAATAATTTCTATATTCCAGTTTGCTGAGCGCTTTTGACGTGGGTGGATCCTCTCCGATTCTATCATTTGGCAGAGCAGCGCTACTAGGATACACTAACATGGGCCACTCGAGTATGTGCTACCATGAGTATCCAAGATGTCCACGTAGGCAAGACCAGCTAATTTCATATTTGAATAACCACAAGGGAGGCTTCTTCCGGTTATTTAGTTCTAATCGTGACAGCTACAATGTACCTCAACAACCAGCGTATCGACCATACTATCGGAAACCTAGCAATGGTAGTGCTACACGTAAGTCAAATAAAAAAAAAATTAATTTTGATATGTCTTTTGCAGAGTTGGAGTACAGGATTGTGGGGTCAGATACAGAGGATCCGACGACGCCGTTGTATTTGAGGCCTGAAGCCGACAGAACAGGAACGGGAAAATTATCGTTCGCCAACTCTGATTTTCAAGAGCAAGACAGTAACAACGCGAACTTTTTTCCGACAAAATCACAGAAAAATGACTTTACTACTTTTACCTTTCCTAAGGAAAATGAACACAGTTACCATCAACTAAATCCTGCTAAAGTATTGATAAATGAATTCAACGAAAATCAAAGAGATCCGCTGCGAAAAGATCGTCAGTTTTTTATTCAGGTTTGCAAATGTGAGACATGATTTTTGATTTCGACATGCTCATGAAAATTTTGATGGTTTACAGGACGACAAAAATTATAATTTGGAGCAACCTTACGGAGCTGATTACAATCAAAGACCTCGAACTGTAGTATTGGGAAACAAAGGCCTTTTGTTTTTTCCATCAGATTCAGCACAGAGGGATACATTTACCTTCGTAATTCCTAATAATCACCGGAGCTATTGACGAGATAATGTGGTGAAAGCTGTTGGCACTGTGTGGAAATAATTTCATACATATTATTGTCATTTATTATTCAGTTTCTACCACTCAGTAATAATGCTCTATTTATTAATCGCAGTATTTGTAATTTAATTAGTCATACAATTAATACTATTTTTGTACTTCGAATAATACGAATTTTTTCAGTGTTAAATATTATCCATTGCCTATCATTGTGTTCATTTTTACTTTATCGAGTATCCATATGATTTTCTGAATGGGGATCCGAGATAACATGGGCCACCTAATCCCATCAAAATCACTTTTACCTCAATCAATGTAAGGACACTGCTTTTGTCGCAAGAGCTTATCATATACTGACAGGATTATCGACACTTGAAGCGCAAGAAGGGAGAATATTTTCTTTTATTTTTCCCCAACAAAGCTTATTACACGATAGCTAGATAGAAGAGAAAACCGAGACTTGGAATAATGAGTACATTGGGAGAATTTCACCCATTATATCCACTGGACTGCGTACTACTTTTAAGTAACTAACAATAAATAACCATACGCCGTCTTTTTCATGCAAATGATATGCTTACATCGTCGGACGATAATTCGATTGAACTGATCTCGTTTTGCATTAAGTGAAGCTACGTGCGATCTAGTTGTTGATAAGAATCTCTGTGAATAAAAACATTTAAATGATATACTCGTCGTAGAAAATGAGTATGGCTCGTAGTCACTTTCACTCGGAAATGAATACTTAACAACTCGGCCCGACAGCAGTGCATCATTAATCGGATGACAGCGTTTTTAAATTGAAAAGCTAAAACTCCCACTTCCCCACCCATCTAAATAGCCGCCTGTTAAGATAAGCGCTGCCAACAGCTGTCAGAATGGGGTTATTGAAAAATTTTCAGCCCCTCTGTTTTTACGTCATTATGCACGATGATGCCACCGATTAAAAACCGCAAATTGCGGTCGATTATCGCCCTACGAGCAATTAGTTCCACTAAAAAATTTACTGATTTATAAGTTTTATAATTTCATAGTTAATTATTTGCTTATGTTGCAGCCAATAAAAATTAACGCTATATAATACAGCCAATAAGCTGATTAGCGGTGACTTCGATATCCGAGCAAACGTATACTTTACACAACCGCAAATGCCAACATCATTTTCCAAGTTAAATACATGTATACGGACATTCTGGTCGTACCACAATTGTCATAATAATCCCACACCAAGTGTATAGGTATCGATAGCTTCGTACGTCACACATCGATCCAGAACAGTCAAGCTCACAGCCTACACGTGATCCGATAATGCACGATGCTTGATGTGTACACAGTATCTATACACCAATACAGTGCACAGTACACCCACAACCCCACACACAACACATATGTGCCAGCCTCGCGGGAAGGTTAATTGTCTTCCGTGCTGTCAGTCGCAAGCCCCGCACTTGGCCCTGTCCGCTCCACGCGGCCGGGACAACCCCTCGGGCTTCTTCATCGGCGCGAGCCTCCTAGGCTTATTCCGCGCGGTCTCCCTCTTTGACCCGCTCCCTCGATCCATACTCGCCCACGGAACCATACTCGCATCCCATTACGAATTACACGGCAGAGAGAATGAAATAATTACAACCCATAGGCCTTTCACCTTTTCGGCACTGCAGCGGAGCGAGACCGGGAAATATTAAGTGCGAGCGGGTCCTTTGTTATCCCGTGTTTTTTTTCTTTTCCTCTTTCTCTTTCTCTCTCTCTCTCTCTCTCTCTCTCTCTCTCTCTCTCTCTCTCTCTCTATCTGTTTGAACAGTGTCATCCGCAAATTAACTACGCTGACCTTTACTTGCGGCACGCGCCAGCTAGTTCCTTATTTGTTTTTTCGTACGGGAGGATGATACTGTCTTATTGGACTGCACGACGAGCGTGTAGGTATAACCCATATTGATTACTGAATGAGAGCGTTTGGTGGGTTATTCATTTCTTTTCGCGATGATTGGCCGCTGTAATTGTCGATCATGTAGATGACATCAGTACTTTTTTTCTTTGTTTTTTTTTTTTTTTATGTTGCGTGGTGTCACGTTTTTTAACGCTGTAAGAGGCTGACACTACTATTTCACCAGAGTAGGACTGGTTCATTGGACGAGTCGTAGTGCTGTTTGGTTTTCGTTAATTATGTTTGCATTTGCAAAATGATACTTGCTTTGTCGTTGAATTGGTGTAAACATGAGCTGTGATTATAAATGCAGCTGTTCAGGATCTTGTTTAGGGTATCGCAGTGCAATACTTTTTATCGTAATATTGTAGTTTTACTTCGGGTATATCACTTTCTTCGTGCTATTCCCCAATCAGCTGTATAGATAAAGTCTAGAACAGTACAGTTTCCTGATAGACTCTGGTTCTTGTTTCATATGTCTCTATCTTTGCTACCTTACGGAATATACTTTGATTATCGAGAAAAAAAAGCGGAGCCTTCCTTTTACAAAAAGAAAAAAATCGACATACATCCACGATCAACCGTGAAAATTCCAGAGCTCTCCGGCCTGTACGAGTAAGTACAAGTTTCTCGGACTTATTCTAAGCACACGTGCGTCACTACAAAGAACTTTATATCAAAGCGATTATATAGCCATGTGCCAACGACTGACGGATGGCCTGCAGTAATAATACGCGCATCTGTGATTATACAGAGATAAAGAGAGATCGTGAGAGAAAAGGAGACATTCCAAGAAGGTCGGCTATAACAACAACAGCAGCATGCATTTCAGGCACACAGTGGCGCACCTACTGAAAATTAACGCCCTTTGTCTCTGTGGTACTCCCCAGTAGAGGGGATTCTTATGCAGTAGTAGAGGAGCAACGGGAGAAGGAGGGGGAGGGAAATTAAGTTTAACTGCGGCGATACAGCGGATAAATATATTACCAAGCGTGTAGCCCGTACGAATCTGCAATCCTTTAATTGAGCGTAAATTCTAGCCGGTCGTTCGTGTGGCGATTTTTAAATGCCAGAGCTAAATTTGTTAGCGGCCGGTGCGCCACCTGGCAATTAGTCGTTCGCGGAAACGGTACGCACAATGCGTTGACTCTACGTGTATTCGAATGGTTTTCGCAATGCTTGCGGGGAAAAATGATTATTGCTGTGCATTCTATGCTTGATGGGATGATAATTGCTGGGACAATGTTGCATTGGGTATTTGAAAGGAAGAGGAACTATTATAAAATGGATTAATATGGATTCATCGTATAAATTGAAGACTGAATAAACGTGATACTCTCTTTGTCTAAGGATTTTCAGATTGTACTGTTTTGCGTTAATGTAAACGGACTTAAAGCTTATTTACCAAACATAAATCTGGCACAACACAGCATTATGTACAAATCAGTACCAAAGAGACTATCAAAAAATCTCTAAAATTATAGGGTCCAGCGTGTACTCAAATCTGATAGTTACTTAATATTATGTCTTTATAGATATTGGTTTTATAATAAGTAGTACTCAATCAATTGGCCTTGTTTAATGCAAATACAACCATTTTTTATTCTTTGTTACTATTTTATTGTAATCTTTATATATTTTTATTCATCATATCTTTGAAAGTTATTAGTTATTGTACTTTTCTATGTATTTTTAAAAAGTTACTGTCAAGTTATTGATTATTTAAGTGTTGTGTTATCGAATGTTTGTAGAATTTAGTTTTCGATGGTTTTTTGATTAATTAGTACCAAGTTTACTGATTTTCAACAAAGAATAATAGTACTTACAAGATATTTTTTATTAAAAAATAATTGTAATGAACACTTTAATTACATCAAAACATTTTTAAAACATTGTATAAGAAATTGAGATGTGTCATAAAAATAGTACATGCAAATAAGACATTCAGATATTGCCAAAAATAAAAAAAAAATAAAAAAACAACTACCAGTAGACTAAAAACAAATAATTATTTGTAATATGTAATTTGAAAATAGGGGTTGAAAATAAACCTTTGAGTCATGCAAGTAGTTGTAGTGTTAAACGTTCGGAACGATTGTTGGAATGAAAAAATTTTCGTTGTAAATATTTGAAGATGAAAAATAATATAATCAACTCATTTGACAATTTTTGCGTACTAAAAAAGTTGCAAGAGTAATATTTATTGGTATCAATTATTTGATTCTGAAAATTGAAGTATGCAAGCATGTTGTCATTTTAAAACATTTTCAGTCAACTGTATATCAAGTTCCATGAAAAATTATATCGAAATATCAATTTTTTGTTATTACTTTTCAAGGTGAACGATAGCTTGATACCTATTCAGTACGAAAGTATTCACGTGCTTCGTGATTGCTGAACATATTGCTATTGGAAGACCCCCCCCCCTCCCCCAAAATCTTTAATAGCAAGCACAAGCGTGAAATCGCAGGATTTTTGTTAGAGTCTTTATCCGTAAAGTGAAAAAAGGATATCGTATTTTCCCGCTTACAATGCATTACACACACACGTGAACTTGATTATTTTCTCTTTCCTAGGGTGCATTTATATATTGAGTTACTGAAGCATAAATAACAGGATTATAAAAATGATGAGAGTAAAATTGCATGTATCCAAAATAATTTGTTGACGCATCAAGTTAGTAGATCATTTATATTACAAAAAAGCTAACTTTCAAAGTGATGAAAATGGTAAAATGCGAACAAAATTCTGGGACGAAAAAAATTGCAAACTATCATTCCTTCAACAATTATAAAAAACTCTAAGTAAAAAGTGAACTTCCCACTCAACCAACAAGTAAAGCCTTCAGTAACAACAAAAAAATTCACTAACACGTGTTTCCACCTGAAAATTCCAGCTTTCCACAATGATCATCATTGCCGTTGTTGTAACACTACTTTTCTCAATTCCATAAAAGCACAACAATGAAGACTCATAAGAACAAACGATGCGGCTTATAGTCGACAACAACGCGCCGCTGTTATTGAGCTGCCGTTGGCTGCACCAAGCGCTGGTATAAATAATCTTATTCTATTAAAGCGTCTGCAGGGAGGCAGGGGGTGGAGTGGAGAAAAGAGGCGCGCACTAGGCGACGCATTATTTTTTGAGCTCGACATCAAAGAAGATTGCCATTGTATCGGTCGTGATAATTCCTCGTTATTAGATGAGAGAGTGAGAGAGAAAGCTTTGGGTCTCATGTCGGTTTACCGCA